GTTAAATTCGTTAGGGCTATGAAGCGACTGGGACACATGAGGTAATCAGATTTTGTCCATCAGGTTTCATCAGTCAAGTTTGGTCAATCAGGTTTAATTACGAAATCTCCAGCAACATCACTCCTTTGCAATGATAGTTACCATCTTGAAGCCTCTTTCAAGAAAACCCTTTACAGTATTTTTGATTATTTTACAATCTTACACTGGAGTCAGTCGTGTAAATTTGTTAGTATTGGTATTAGTATTAGTATTAGTAGTAAAAGTAATAGCAGTAGTAATAATAATAGTAAAACTAGTAGGAGGTATCAGTTGAAGAATGACACGACACACTGGCATGACTCTCGTCACCTGTGAGGTGTCAGTTGAAGAATGACACGACACAGTGGCATGACTCTCGTCACCTGTGAGGTGTCATTGAAGAATGACACGACACACTAGCATGACTTTCGTCACCTGTGAGGTATCAGTTACATGAGGAAGTGATGTTCCATGTAGGTATTGTCACTGGTATTTACCCTGATCACTACTAACGAGGCAGAGGTGTAATAAGAGAAGCTCGTTCTTATTATTATAATCAAAAGAAAGCGCAAAACAAGTGAAGCACATTATTAGGATAGTTTACGGATGAAATGTTGATGTACGACTGGCTTCTCCAGTACTAAAGAAGCCATTCGTGACAAAACGTTTCCTAATATGACTCACGAAATCGTAATGACACGATTGCAAACAAACCATATCCCCTCCCGTGGTATGGTTTGTTTCCTAATACAGTAGTACCTTGAAACGAAAGTTTCTATTTGCGTACTTGTGATATATAAGTTTTTTCAGACAGTCTTATGATAAATTTTCACAATTTCTTATGCAGGATGTGTAAATTTTTTCAACTTGTTTGAGGACAATGTACCTTAAGGTAGATGAGAACGCTGAGCGGTAGACTGTGCACCTTGTAGCGGCTCCCAGTGAACAACGCGTCAGTCACCTGGATGTGAAGTATTTATACCCGGGAGGCAACAAGAGCATCTCAAGTTGCCACTAACATTGATGTGGGTTTGACTCACGCGGGATTTGAGTGATGTGTGTGTGTGTGTGTGTGTGTGTGTGTGTGTGTGTGTGTGTGGTGTGTGTGTGTGTGTGTGTGTGTGTGTGTGTGTGTGTGTGTGTGTGTGTGTATGTGTGTGTGTGTGTGTGTGTGTGTGTGTGTGTGTGTGTGTGTGTGAGTGTGTGAGTGTGTGTGTGTGTGTGTGTGTGTGTGTGTGTGTGTGTGTGTGTGTGTGTGTGTGTCTGTCTGTATGTATTTATCTGTGTGTACAAACGATTTAACTGACCACACTTGTTTACTGTATAAAACCGTCAAAAAATATTTTCAGCTACGTATCATAAATTCACTTTTCCGGTATCCATCCTTCATTACATTAACAGCATTCATGTAAGCTGAATGAGTTTGTGAATAGTTCTAAAAAATCTATTACACTCTGCTACGTATAGTAATTTTATAAAACACACTAACGTGTTTATTACTTTTGAGAAAAAACATCATTCATGATAAGAAAAGATACTGTTTATCATCTTGTTGATTGTGTAGCATCATACACAACACCCACAACATCTAACAGTTTCATGAAGAATCTCATGTTATCATTGTTGGCCCGAGATCTGGTGATGCTGGGGAAGGTGGTTACTGAGGCGAGGAGCACCAGAGGGCTAGGTTCTCCCCCAGCAGGGTGAAGTGGTTACTGAGGCGAGAAGCACCAGAGGGCTAGGTTCTCCCCCAGCAGGGTGAAGTGGTTACTGAGGCGAGGAGCACCAGAGGCGAGGTTCTCCGCTAGCAGAGTGAGGTGGTTACTGAGGCGAGGGGCGCCAGAGGGCGAGGTTCTCCCCCTGCAGGGTGAGGTGGTTACTGACGGGAGGAGCACCAGAGGCGAGGTTCTCCCCCAGCAGGGTGAAGTGGTTACTGAGGCGAGGAGCACCAGAGGCGAGGTTCTCCCCCAGCAGGGTGAAGTGGTTACTGAGGCGAGGAGCACCAGAGGCGAGGTTCTCCGCTAGCAGAGTGAGGTGGTTACTGAGGCGAGGGGCGCCAGAGGGCGAGGTTCTCCCCCTGCAGGGTGAGGTGGTTACTGACGGGAGGAGCACCAGAGGCGAGGTTCTCCCCCAGCAGGGTGAAGTGGTTACTAAGGCGCGGAGCACCAGTGGGTGAGGTTCTCCCCCAGCAGGGTGAGGTGGTTACTGACGGGAGGAGCACCAGAGGCGAGGTTCTCCTCTAGCATGGTGAGGTGGTTACTGAGGCGAGGGGCACCAGAGGGTGAGGTTCTCCCCCAGCAGGGTGAACTGGTTACTGACGGGAGGAGCACCAGAGGCGAGGTTCTTCCCTAGCAGGGTGAGGTGGTTACTGAGGCGAGGGGCACCAAAGGGCTAGGTTCTCCCCCAGCAGGGTGAGGTGGTTACTGAGGCGAGGAGCACCAGTGGGCTAGGTTCTCCCCCTGCAGGGTGAAGAAGGCACTCCTGGGAAGGTAGTTACTGTGGGGAGGAGCACCAGCGGGCGAGGTTCTCTTCCAGCAGGGTGAGGAAGGCCACGCCTGGGAAGGTAGTTACTGAGGGGAGGAGCACCAGCGGGCGAGGTTCTCTTCCAGCAGGGTGAGGAAGGCCACGCCTGGGAAGGTAGTTACTGAGGGGAAGAGCACCAGCAGGCGAGGTTCTCTTCCAGCAGGGTGAGGAAGGCCACTCCTGTACCCAGCACCAGCATGTGGAATGCTCCTTGTAGGTGATTCATTCCCAACACCACTCTGCTGTCTTTTTTCTGAAATTTGAAAAATAAATAAATTTTGTACAGCTAATCAATGTATATATATATATATATATATATATATATATATATATTATATATATATATATATAATATATAATATATATATATATATATATATATATATATATATATAATATATATATATATATATATATATAACCGAGGGAGTTGACTGATAGTTATAGTCCTTTCGTGTTGCAATCAACACCTTATCCAGAGTTTGCAATGTTGCAGAAAAGAGGATAAAATCCGAGCAAGCACGTTTAGAGCGGTTTCTTTAGACTGAGGGAAGAGAGAAGCAGTGAAGTATTAGTGCCCAGTGCCTGGTGCTTGGTGCCTGGTGCCTGGTACCTGGTACCTCGGAAACTGAATATTTTTTAAGACATTATAAGACCGCCAGCCCATAAGCACTGATACTGTAGTGGTATCCCAACAAGCGTAACATTAGTGGCAGGACAATCATCAAAGATTCAGTCATATTCGATAAGATGTAAAAGGCTTCACATTCTAAATATTGATTTCTGGCAATTATCTAGGCATTTTTCCATACATTAGAAAAATGGACCGCGATTAGAACCTTGGTCCAGACATTATTATGATTATTATTATTACGGTTACTATTATTACTATTAAGTCTGAGGTGCTCACATATGGTGTAGTGCTCGTGTTAGCTTGTGGATTGAGTGCTGCAGCTGCTTTGTTCTCTCTTACACTTTGTGCCACCACTTCTTTCACCCATCGGTTGATAACTCCAGCGTCTTGCAATCTGAACATCAACTGCATAAATCTATTAGAAAATGGAGCCCCTTTCCTAAAGTGGAAAAAAAAGGAAAACAGCTGAGTTTAGTTTTTGTGGTCTGAGTTATTCAGCCTAGAAATGCTGAAAAATTAAATTTTGAATTTACATTCCTTTCAGTTCTTACAAAACCAAGTGGAAAAAATATTGCCAGAGTTACATTAATCCTTGAAAACAATCAGCATTAACACTGTACTTGCCTGAAACCCCATCCAAAGCCAGACAGTAGACGCATTTTTAAATTGCTGAGGTAGTACGGGTTTTGTCCGTAGCTGTCGTTATACTGGGAGTCTATCAACAAGCTGATGGAGAGACGCACGCATATGAATGAGTAACCTCCTGCTCTTACCTTCTTGAGTCCCTCCGCCATCAACAGAGTCTTATTTAAACAAGAGAAAAACATATAGTAATTTCGTATATTTACTGATGTTTTGGGTGATATAGTTTAGCCAGGTGAGTTGTATGCAAGATATTTTTGCATCAGAACATAGATGAGGAACCTACGTAACTGATTCCTTATGATGCTTGTTTGGTACCGAATTCTCATGGTAAAGAAGCATGTGAGTTATCACTGTACTACTTAATACCCTGGACAAAGGCAAATCTGTGTATGCCAACTTTCCACCTTCTATCCTAACTGCATATAATTTAACCAGGTTGATTTGTCAATTGGGTTTAATCCAATTAACCATGCTGGTTTCATTTACGCTTCATGGGTACCTAATGCCCGAGTGCATCCTTGCATTAGAGCATAAATACCTTCATCACGCTAAAATTAATTAGATGACAAAGCCGAGTGGATAAGTGGAAACTACATTGTGTCTCTGTGGTGAGGAAGATTTATGAGCGAAATTCGGGCCACTTCGATAGCCGGAATAGTCTTAGAAAAGCTTTTGTCTTCAGGTGTTAAATATACAGTAATTTCTCAAGACAGGGTTGCAGCATGCATGTATATGTGTTTCACACACATATATATGCATGCTGCATATGGATATACATGTGTTCCACACATATATATCTATGATTTACGTATATATTGTCTATTTCCAGTTGTTACAATGTACTGCATGTAGTATTTAGCAAGGATTTCTTATGTAAGCTGTTAAGTTTTGAAGTTAATTTGTCGTTTGGGTGAAAATTTAGTTCCAAATCGAGTCGTAATTACCTAATAAAGTCTTAAAATTCAGATTGCATAGTTTATCCTACAAAAATACAACACGTAATTGTCGCTGCTTAGATGGAGTTGCTTATTTGTAGAAAACAAAGTCAACAGTACACTTAGACCTGGTATATACCCCAAGTGATGCATATCTCCCAGTTTATATATGATGAAAGTTCATTCCATTCTCTAATCTAGAAATTATAGTATTCTAGACTGCTGGTGAACAGGTTACATACCCTTACATGCCCCTTAGGGTAGTCGATAGGTTTTAAACTCAGTTAACTAACTAGTAATAAAGTCAATGATTTGAAAAACTTTCCTAATAAAAACTTTACATACTAACATCCATTTCCTTATATACTTTTTGTATTACTGGGTCTGTATGCTGTGAGAAATAAAGCAACACCGCTCCAGTTAGAAGCGGGGTTTCAATACCCCACTTCCAGTTCTTTAGAGTCACAAGGTCTTCGAAGGTTTCAGGGGGCTTGGTCTTTCCCTGGACTGACAGGTGAGCAACTAACGAGGAAGTGTATCCTGTAGTAATAACCAGACAGAACATCAGACAGACGCCCACCAACACCTGTAAACATAGGAGGAAAAGGTGTTTTCTGTGGTTATGGTCAGATAGAAACAGGTAATAAATATTTATTCGCCTCTGCAAATGTACAATTAATCATAAAATATTAAAGTTATTACTTTTCCACCTGTAAAAGAAAACCTGTTGAGGAAAGGTTTGTATTAGGAATTCTGGGTATAAAGAAATAAGATACTGACAAGTAGTGGACAAAAGAATCAAAATTAATTCATTTTAGAGCATATTTAGTTGAAACGTTTCAGTCCTGGGACTTTGGTCATTGAAAATGTTCAAAAGCTAAGAAAACAAAGCTGATATTGTCGGGAAAATCCATGATTAGAAGTAAGGTCTAGTGCTTTTTCCTCTGACTATAAGTGTCTGGTGGTAGGTATGGGGATCGTGTGTACCAGTGTGGATGAGATACAGTAACTTTCTGTGTAACTGTTTTTGTTATACAGATACTTTCTATGTAACCGTTTTTGTTATAAAAACAGTAGAAAAACTGCCAAATAATGGTGACTATAAAAATTGCATCGATTCTGGGACGTGTGTGCTATAGCAAGGATTTTAACATAAATTGTGGTGCTAAAAAACACTAGCCTAATTATAAATATTTTTTATCTAGTAAATGAATCAATCAATACACAACAAAAGGGGTACGAATCCCTGTTTTTCTTACAGGTATTTGGGATTCCTCTGTCTTTGTTTTTGGACATGTAATTTGTGGATAATTTGAGGAGTATTTATAAACTATTCGATTTTCCCACATGGAAGAATAAATAATGGATTATCAAGAATTTTAAGCAATTGTATGTTATGCAGGGCATCAGAAAAGAGCCTCCATCATAGAGATAGAATTTTACTTTTCCTGCTTTGTTGACAGAAGGGTCAGACGGTAAGTTTGCGAGGAGGGCGCCCCAGCCATACAGGAGGATGGAGACGAAATTGACCCCACGTTTACCTGTCAACCACCACCATACCTTCTGCAGCAGCCATAGGATCACTCCCCACACCGTGACACACGCTAGCAACGACAGCCACAGTTCTCCTGGAGAAGTGACATCTTTTAAATATCTGGGTAAAGAAACACAACTGATGCAACAAATTATTCCTTCATATTGAGGGAGGCACTCTTATTATGAAGCCAATGACGTACGTGAAAGAGGTTTAGATAGCGAGAGGAGTTGTGGCAAGAGGGTTGGCCTCAGTGATACTATGGTCAGCGGGTCAACCCTGTTATAACTCAGGAAATCCATGGACGGAATCCGTTCAGCAATTGTTGCTATTGGTCCACAGATATCTGCCTCTTCCCGCTGCAGTTGTCCCACCATGCCAGTGAAGGAGCCATTCTTCTGCATACCATAAGATCTCTCAGGCTGCTCTCGGATTTCAAAACTGGTGATTATACAATAAAATACACGAATGTAGCTGCAGTTATTTTCGAAGATATAATGTAAACGAATTTATGATTTTAAGTAGCCCAAAATGAGTTAAAATACACCAGATTGAACATTCTAAATGAATATACCATAAATTTGATATATTTTCATCTTTTAGAACTTCATCTTTAAAAAAAATATATTATAATTGATGTTTTCATAGCTGAATCATCCATCAGAAAATTTCACGTTAGAAACAGAGGCCTTTACCTAATATTGAGTCTTTTAGCGAAGAGAAACAGCAGTCTAGCATCAAGGCCATTTTTAAGTGTCACAGTGCTGCCTGGTTCATCACTGTCCGCCTTGTAATCCATGAAAGGGTATTTAACCAGAGCTGAAAACTGCATTTTAGTGTTCCAAAAGTTAAGGAATTGCTCTGTTGAAGAAGCATAGATTTTACATTATAATAAATCTCGGTCAAATCATGAATAATCTTGATTATATTAAACATTCGTGTGACTTATGAAATATTCATCTTATGAGTGATGTTGTGATGAATATACATTCAGTTTGTTTAGTTAGGATGATATGAGTATGTGATACAGTGTATGGTGAAAAAAATGATGGAGTTTTATGACTTTTTGATCGCGGGTTCTAACCCCGCCCGTGGTGTGGTTAGTTTGCAATCGAGTCATTACGATTTCGTGAGTCGTGACGTATGTGTTGTTAGGATAATCAAGTAAATGTGTGGTGTTCTGGTGATGTGACAGTAACAACGTTAAAATATAGTTTAGCTTATTAGTGTGAATTGAATGAATGTAAGAATGAGGATAATAATGTGAATTTTTAGAGTAATTTAAGTGTGTGATGTAAGTTATAGCATTAGCTTTAACATGATAACAGATTATTAGTGTGATCCATTGTGAGATATTTTAGTGTGAGAGGTTGTGTATATGAACGTTTTGTGTACATAGGGGAGCTGCTGAAGTTTATAATAAGTGAAATTTGCTGAGAACCTGTAATACATAAACGTGATTTCAATTAAGTTAGATCCAAGGAAGAGAATGGAAGTTACATTCTGTGGGATTTAATCCCTCACCGACGTCAAGAAACCTCTGTTACGGGGCTAAAGCAGAATGAACCAATCAGTGCTTACCTTGAAATAAGTCATTCTTGAGTTGAGTAACTGAAGTGAGGTTCCACAGGTGGAGGAGCTGGACGTCTGCTTCTCCGCTGTTACAGTAAAGACACCTCCGGTACACCCACACACCTCCACTCACTAGTGTGTATGATTACATAAAGGTTACACACACACACACACACACCATGTACACACACGTACCCTGAGGTACGTTTATTGTCTTCTCTGAGGATGAGGGTCCCTATTCCAGCTATAGAGGTGGTACTTCCCTATATGTATATATATATATATATATATATATATATATATATATATATATATATATATATATATATATATATATATATATATATATATATATATATATATATTATATATATATATATATATATATATATATATATATATATATATATATATATATATATATATATATATATATATATATATATATATATATATAATATATATATATATATATGTTAATAAACACACCACGCATTTATATATAAGTGAATAACTGCAAATTAATTTAGAAACGTTATCTTAAATTGTTAATTCGTTATCAAGTTCTCAAGTTTTTAATATTTTTTTTTCCGAAATTCGTTAGTTGCAGAAACTTTACACTGTTATTCCAAAGTCGTTTCATCGTCAGGCATCAACAGTATCAGGGACGTAGGTACTGACCTTGTGCAACGGGCTTCCTGTGGCGTAAATTACGTAGTGGTGTATGGAGGGGAAGGGTTTCGAGAGTGAGGTGATGGATAGTGAGGTCGTGGAGGGCCAGGTAGAGGGCGTGGATAGTGTTGTGGAGGCTATGGTGGAGAAGCACCTCCATCACCCCCGCCTTTCCTCCCACAACAAGCACAAGAGTCTCTGGTAGCTTCCATAGTTCAGCTTCCTCAAGAAATCTGCATAAGTTACCAGAGTATTAATAAATCCTTTTCTCCTGTTAAATATTCAGGAAGTGATTGCATGTGTTTATTGAAAAAGTAAAACACATCCAATTTCTCAAATAAAATTACATTAAAGAAATCTTTTTTACATTGATATGCAAACCGTTTTTTTTATTAGCAAAAATTAATGTGTATGGAAAAGTTAACTGCACCTGGAAACAAAACCAAGTGACAGATGTTGTATTTTAATTATACTGTATCAGATACCCCTTAACTCCAGACTTCAGGAGCAGCTGAAAGTTACCTTAAGACAAGATCAGTATTGTTGGTGTAGGTGAGGTCAAGGATAAGACCCCGGCATGTGGTTCTAGCATCACCCCATAATCCAGGGAGAAGGTGGTCCTGGGAGAACATCCATCCTGCCCCCACCACCACCCGAGCCTCACCACTCTCACACAAGTGCCTGCTGGATACAAACTTACACTTTTCATGCAGCTCCTGGGAGGTGGTGATAGAACTGATGGTTCTGGGTAAACGGTGATAGCATTAACAGTGTCACAATCTTGGCTTCAACAAAACATTGCTTTAATATTGTATTTGAGGAATTCTAGAAGCAACGTAAGAAAAGAGACTACATTTCGATATCCAATCTGAGAATTTCTGAGATAAAGTCTGAGTACATGCAGTGATCAAATCGACAGCTTACAAGTGTGTATTGAGGATGGAGTGGCTTCTAAACTTATATATATATATATATATATATATATATATATATATATATATATATATATATATATATATATATATATATATATATATATATATATATATATATATATATATATATATATATATATATTATTAATATGTATATTGTGTGTGTGTGTGTGTGTGTGTGTGTGCGAATGGCATTATATTCCTGTGTGTTAATAAGACAATATACTGTTTTTGACATTTTACTGAGAAGAAGCACCGTCACCAGGGTCTCTACTTAAAGACATTTAATTCTTATTCTATATGAATTTTGTATGGAAATTGTACTGGGTCACTTACGTTCTGATTCATACGTAATAATTTCACCTGAGAATGTTGGAGGTAATGAGTGAGTGAGGTGCAGTGGTGATGAGCACCAGGTGACAGCCGCTCAGATAATCCTCCACCACCTGACCCACCATCACGCCCACATCCACGCCCACCTGCTCCGCGGTTTTGCCCACATCTTGGCCAGCTACGGGCGTAATGTTCATAATTGTCGAAACTATCACTGCGAGGCAAATTTCCAGCAACATCGATCTTCGATGATTTACGATCACCTGTATTGAAGATGTTGTCCCAGGGGAGAAATTTTATATTACATCTGACCTCCATTTTCCCCTGTTAAATATTAGGGTATTTTTTATGATGATAGCTACTTCCACAAGGATGTTGTGGTTTTTCCTAGGGTGTATAAATATACCTAGATGGACGAATTTTATTGTAGCCAGCTGTCCCAGTGGCTAGCGCGTCGGTTTGGAGTTTTATGACTCTCTGATCGCGGATTCTAACCCCGCCTGTGGTATGTTTTTTTTTTTTATGTTGCAAGAAGGCCGAGCTTTTGTTTTCCCTAACATTTGACCTTATATGTTTGAAGATCTGTGTTTCTAAAAGTCTAGCCAATCTACCCTTTATATATATATATATATATATATATATATATATATATATATATATATATATATATATATATATATATATATATATATATATATATATATATAAACATTTACTGGGTTCCCCTGTAGGCCAGCGGAATGCCTCGGTCAGTTGACCAAAAGTAAATAACAATAAAGGCACAATACCGTGACTGGAACGATTCACAAATAACCCGCACCATTGACAAAGTCAATGGTCCAAGTCGGACCGAAACGTCGTCGTAAGCTTCTCTCTTTTATGTGCGGGTTATTTGTGTATGACCAAAAGTTCCAGCGGCGGGTCATCATATGACCCACGTCAAGAAACACTTGTCATGTTTCCTGACGAACCTTACCTAACCTGCCCATCTATAACACACTGCAGTCTTTACACTGGATTATCATGATAGATTCCTGGTGCAGCAGTGGTACAGATTTTCGTATTCAGAAAAGAAGTATAATATCTTCTAAGTGGGTATATTATTACATTCATGAGGAGCGCTAAATCCATAGGGATCATGCAACCCCTGGAGGAGTGAGAGGGCAATCAGGTTCGATCCAACGAAGGGAAAGTCAGATTCAGTTTGGATCAACAGCTCCTCACCAGCATCAAGGAACCTCACTTGACGTGTCTTGATATTAAAGAAATTTTTTAATAGTTTATTGATTAGGTTACAGTTTAATATAAAGTTTTCTGAATCTGTATTAGCTACCAGAGCAAACTAAGTTTACAAGTATATTTCTCTTCTGTGCACCACATCAATAAATTCGTCTTTATTTCATTTATTATTAACACCCAGGAATTAAAATGCTTCATTTATCTCATTTTTTTCATTTATTTCAATAAATAGTTAAAAAAAATTACTGTATAACAGTGGTTTCAAAAGGACAATTATCTAGCTATTTTTATTTAAGGAATCACTACATCATTATTATCAGAACATTATTAACTCTGTTGAATGGTTTCCAAATCCTTTAACAATGGAGCAACTTAGTGTATTTTCCAGCTTATTTAACGTAATTTTTTTACCTTTATTAAATCCGTGAATTGCAGAACAATGATATGACAGATGATTTCCCCTTGTTCAAGTCTTACAGTTGTTTAGTAAATAGAAGGAAGGAAGAGGTAGCGCCAATTCCCTGGAACAAGAGTCCTTCACCAGCAACAAGGCACCATTCAGAGCTAAATTATAAATGTTGAATGTTTCTCGTGTCACATTATTTCTACTGGAACTAGAAAGCTAGGTCACTTAGCAAGCCAGGTCACGTGAATTCGTAAGGTATATCACATGAACCAGCAAGCCAGGTCACGTAAACTAGCAAGCCAAATCACATAAAGTTATCGTAGTCATTAATGATAGCCGTATCCATATCCAGGAGTCATAATATCACTAATAGACATCTTTCCCGGAATGTTACGTCTGCAAAAGAGTAAATAATATTCAGTCATAATTTGCTGAGAGACGTGTTGCCAATAACAGTCTATGGTTTTTGGGTTGTAATGAAGATGCAGTTTATGTGAGAGATGAGAAACAGGTGTCACGTTCCTCTGTTGTGCAGTGGTGGTAGATGAGGTCAGTTTTTTCTTAGGATATTGTGACGGCTTTTTGCGACACCGCTCAGTAACTCTTGCTTCGTCAATCCACTTATTTATGCATTTATAAACAGTTGAGACACCAATTTGATATTTCAGCGCAATGTCTCGTGCTGACATACCGCCCAGGTACAGCATTACAGCTTGGGTTCGCTCGGTCGTTGTCAGGCGCTTTGTCGAAGGTCTCCTCTGCATTGGACTTGTTCTGTCAAACTGAAATGTGATGCGTTTGTTTACTTTTGTGCTGCAGAAAGTAAGTTTATAACAAATGATTCAATTAACTTTTCATTAGCAAAGAAATTTATGCATATGTAATGGTTTTTCTTCTTCAAATATAAATCTTGTAAGGTATTGCTGTAATATGTACGTTAAGAATGACCAGTCCTCTTTTGTCTGTTGTTGGGGTGGGAATGTTATAATCGGACTCATTTCTGAGTTTTTGGATGCAGCGGCAGGGTGACTAGAGTCCAAAGTGGCTGCAGTAATGAATCCTTGTAGGAAACAGTCGTAAAACTCAGAGTGGCCAAAGTGGTGGTTTTGGATCACCATATCTAACTTATATAAAGGTTGCTATAATCCTACGCCAGAAGACAGGATTTACTAGGCTACGCCAACACTCTTGTCTCCGATTATGGTTCGCTTAGACACACACACATAATGACTCTTTAAGGTCCCCCTCACATTGGGTATTGACACCACTTATCTCAAGCTGGTAGGGGCTTACCTGGAGTTTACCTGGAGAGGGTTTCGGGGGTCAACACCCCCTCGGCACTGTCTGAGACCACGCCTCATTTCTTGTGCCATATGTTTGTCAAAATTTCTAGGAATTAGTGAAGCTCACCTGAAACACGTGGGTGACCTTCTTGGTCGCGTAAGGAAAGCCGTAAGTGATAAGAAACTCGCGAGTTTCGACGTCGCTGCCTTATTTACAAATGTACAATTCGACCCAGACCTTCTAAGCAGGGTGAATACTGAAGATATAGAATTGTTTGTTTCTTGCCAAGTTTTTAAATTTCATTGGATTATATGTACGTTGAGAGAAATAAATTCAAGCAACTGTTCGGGATGGCCATGGGATAACCCCTTAGCTTATTTTTATGTGAAAGATTGAGAATTAAATCTTATCCTAGCACTATCCCCATATCAGTTACTTGGATGCAGTACTTGCATCTGAATAACATCCTCAACACCACGAGCACTCTGGAACCTATAAAGTTCACTCTAGAAATAGATAAAGACAACCACTACCGTATCTCGATTTGCTGTTTATCGAAGATGATAACAAGCTCTCGTTTATGTCGTGACAACCAGCTTACAAGAATAATTTGTTACATTTCTTCTCCCACCATCACAACAGAACTAGGAGACATGTTATATGCTTTTCAATTGATGTTTACAGGAATGAAAGTCTCCAATTCGTCGAGGAAGAGTGAATATACCCCACTCATACGTGAGACACTCATCCTCAACAAGGCAGACTTCAATCAGTTAGGACCTCGTCGATGTCCAGTAAGAACCCAATGAAAAAAAAGCATATCAACATTGTATATAATGTTTGTTAACAAAAGAGCCTACATTACCAATGTTGGTGAGCTTATGAACATTTTCGTGAAGAATCAACAGCCTGATGTAAAAGTCATGTTAGAAAACTTTCAAGATGACACAATTTACAAGAATGTTGCTGAAGTTGTTGGCTCTCAACCCCACCAATGACAATATCATTCCAAAACAAAAGAAAATTGACCACAAGCTGTGCACTATAATTAGGTTGGTATCTAAGGGTTGTCTGCCACATAGTATATATAGCTACTCGACAGAGTTAAAAAATAATGAAACGAACTCATCACAGGCATCGATTCTATTTTGATGAACCTGTTATATCAGCCAAATGTCCACTAACAGAATGAAGTTTGTGCCTTTACTGTCAAGAACAAAAGTAGATGATAATATTTTTCAGACCTAAAACCATAGGAAACTTCGTGGTCTTCCCCCAGTCCCCTCAAAAAAAAAAAAAACTATTAATGTATAAGATAGTCATATACTGAGAGTTCCAGTCTAGCAGTACTTTTCTGAGAAAATCCACTACATCAACGGGTTTTCGTAGCAAAAATATATACGATGAATCAAGTTATTCTTACATATAAAATTTTAACTCACAGATACTCCAACGTCCTTAATAATTTACATACTTGTTGAAATTGAAAATACACAAAAACCATGAAAAGTGTTCCTAGAGACATTATTTAAAAAAATTGTGAGAGAGGATAACATCTCTTTGGCAATACAATTCCTGGCTCAGTTACATTCTTAATACTTCAAAACCTCTTCAATAGCTTTTATTTGTTCTTGTGCTCCACAAACAAAAATTTCCCACTAGTATATTAATAAATCTTCACCATCTCTTATGTTTAAGTTAATCACCACAGGTAAATTATTTTCAGTTTGTTTGGGGACAGCGTACCTTTCGATGACTGTGCTGTTTGGCAGACTGTGCGTCCTGGGACGACACTCAATAAACAATGCAGCAATATCCGTGGCGTGAAGCCTTTATAACCGGGAGGCAGCGAGCGCATTTCAAGTTACCAATAACATTAATCCGACTCGTGAAGGATTTTTAGTAGTGTGTGTGTGTGTGTGTGTGTGTGTGTGTGTGTGTGTGTGTGTGTGTGGGTAGGTGTGTGTGTGTGTGTGTGTGTGTGGTTGTTAGTAGTGTGTGTGTGTGTGTGTGTGTGTGAGGGAAGCTTAATGTGTGTATGTGTGTGTGTGTGTATGTGTGTGTATGTGTGTGTACAAACGATTTAACTGACCACACTTGTTTACTGTATAAAACCGTCAAAAAATATTTTCAGCTACGTATCATAAATTCACTTTTTCCGTATCCATCCTTCATTACATTAACAGCATTCATGTAAGCTTAATGAGTTTGTGAATAGTACTAAAAAATCTATTACACTCTGCTACGTATAGTAATTTCATAAAACACACTAACGTGTTTATTACTTTTGAGAAAAAACATCATTCATGATAAGAAAAGATACTCTGTTTATCATCTTGTTGATTGTGTAGCATCATACACAACACCCACAACATCAAACAGTTTCATGAAGAATCTCATGTTGTCATTCTTAGCCCGAGGTCTGGTGATGCTGGGGAAGGTGGTTACTGAGGCGAGGAGCACCAGAGGTCAAGGTTCTCCCCCAGCAGGGTGAAGTGGTTACTAAGGCGAGGAGCACCAGTGGGTGAGGTTCTCCCCTAGCCGGGTGAGGTGGTTACTGAGGCGAGGAGCACCAGTGGGCGAGGTTCTCCGCTAGCAGAGCGAGGTGGTTACTGAGGCGAGGAGCACCAGTGGGCGAGGCTCTCCCCCAGCAGGGTGAGGAAGGCCACTCCTGTACCCAGCAGCAGCATGTAGAATGCTCCTTGCAGGTGATTCATTCCCAACACCACTCTGCTCTCCTCTTCCTGGAAATTTGAAATATAAATAAATTTTTTGCAGGTGATCAATATATATATATATATATATATATATATATATATATTTATATATTATATATATATATATATATATATATATATATATATATATATATATATATATATATATATGTATATATATGTAATATATATATATATATATATATATATATATATATATATATATATATATATATATTATATATATATATATATTATATATATATATATATGTATATATATATATATATATATATATATATATATATATATATATATATATATAATATATATATATATATATATATATATATGAGGCGACTAAAATGCCGGAGCAATGGGCTAGTAACCCCTTCTCCTGTAGACATTTACTAAAAAAGAGAAGAAGAAAAACTTTATAAAACTGGGATGCTTAAATGTGCGTGGATGTAGTGTGGATGACTAGAAACAGATGATTGCTGATGTTATGAATGAAAAGAAGTTGGATGTCCTGGCCCTAAGCGAAACAAAGCTGAAGGGGGTAGGGGAGTTTCAGTGGGGGGAAATAAATGGGATTAAATCTGGAGTATCTGAGAGAGTTAGAGCAAAGGAAGGGGTAGCAGTAATGTTAAATGATCAGTTATGGAAGGAGAAAAGAGAATATGAATGTGTAAATTCAAGAATTATGTGGATTAAAGTAAAGGTTGGATGCGAAAAGAGGGTTATAATAAGCGTGTATGCACCTGGAGAAGAGAGGAATGTAGAGGAGAGAGAGAGATTTGGGAGATGTTAAGTGAATGTATACGAGCCTTTGAACCAAGTGAGAGAGTAATTGTGGTAGGGGACCTGAATGCTAAAGTAGGAGAAACTTTTAGAGAGGGTGTGGTAGGTAAGTTTGGGGTGCCAGGTGTAAATGATAATGGGAGCCCTTTGATTGAACTTTGTATAGAAAGGGGTTTAGTTATAGGTATACATATTTTAAGAAAAAGAGGATAAATAAGTATACAAGATATGATGTAGGGCGAAATGACAGTAGTTTGTTGGATTATGTATTGGTAGATAAAAGACTGTTGAGTAGACTTCAGGATGTACATGTTTATAGAGGGGCCACAGATATATCAGATCCACTTTCTAGTTGTAGCTACACTGAGAGTAAAAGGTAGATGGGATACAAGGAGAATAGAAGCATCAGGGAAGAGAGAGGTGAAGGTTTATAAACTAAAAGAGGAGGCAGTTAGGGTAAGATATAAACAGCTATTGGAGGATAGATGGGCTAATGAGAGCATAGGCAATGGGGTCGAAGAGGTATGGGGTAGGTTTAAAAATGTAGTGTTAGAGTGTTCAGCAGAAGTTTGTGGTTACAGGAAAGTGGGTGCGGGAGGGAAGAGGAGCGATTGGTGGAATGATGATGTAAAGAGAGTAGTAAGGGAGAAAAAGTTAGCATATGAGAAGTTTTTACAAAGTAAAGTGATGCAAGGAGGGAAGAGTATATGGAGAAAAAGAGAGAGGTTAAGAGAGTGGGAAGCAATGTAAAAAGAGAGCAAATGAGAGAGTGGGTGAGATGTTATCAACAAATTTTGTTGAAAATAAGAAAAAGTTTTGGAGTGAGATTAACAAGTTAAGAAAGCCTAGAGAACAAATGGATTTGTCAGTTAAAAATAGGAAAGGGAGTTATTAAATGGAGAGTTAGAGGTATTGGGAAGATGGAGGGAATATTTTGAGGAATTGTTAAATGTTGATGAAGATAGGGAAGCTGTGATTTCGTGTATAGGACAAGGAGGAATAACATCTTGTAGGAGTGAGGAAGAGCCAGTTGTGAGTGTGGGGGAAGTTCGTGAGGCAGTAGGTAAAATGAAAGGGGGTAAGGCAGCCGGGATTGATGGGATAAAGATAGAAATGTTAAAAGCGGTGGGGATATAGTTTTGGAGTGGTTGGTGCAATTATTTAATAAATGTATGGAAGAGGGTAAGGTACCTAGGGATTGGCAGAGAGCATGCATAGTTCCTTTGTATAAAGACAAATGGGATAAAAGAGAGTGCAAAAATTATAGGGGGATAAGTCTGCTGAGTATACCTGGTAAAGTGTATGGTAGAGTTATTATTGAAAGAATTAGAGTAAGACGGAGAATAGGATAGCAGATGAACAAGGAGGCTTTAGGAAAGGTAGGGGGTGTGTGGACCAGGTGTTTTACAGTGAAACATATAAGTGAACAGTATTTAGATAAGGCTAAAGAGGTCTTTGTGGCATTTATGGATTTGGAAAAGGCGTATGACAGGGTGGATAGGGGGGCAATGTGGCAGATGTTGCAAGTGTATGGTGTAGGAGGTAGATTACTGAAAGCAGTGAAGAGTTTTTACGAGGATAGAGGGCTCAAGTTAGAGTACGTAGGAAAGAGGGAAATTATTTCCCAGTAAAAGTAGGCCTTAGACAAGGATGTGTGATGTCACCGTGGTTGTTTAATATATTTATAGATGGGGTTGTAAGAGAAGTAAATGCGAGGGTCTTGGCAAGAGGCGTGGAGTTAAAAGATAAAGAATCACAACAAAAGTGGGAGTTGTCACAGCTGCTCTTGCTGATGACACTGTGCTCTTGGGAGATTCTGAAGAGAAGTTGCAGAGATTGGTGGATGAAATTTGGAAGGGTGTGCAAAAGAAGAAAATTAAAGGTGAATACAGGAAAGAGTAAGGTTATAAGGATAACAAAAAGATTAGGTGATGAAAGATTGAATATCAGATTGGAGGGAAAGAGTATGGAGGAGGTGAATTTATTCAGATATTTGGGAGTGGACGTGTCAGCGGATGGGTCTATGAAAGATGAGGTGAATCATAGAATTGATGAGGGGAAAAGAGTGAGTGGTGCACTTAGGAGTCTGTGGAGACAAAGAACTTTGTCCTTGGAGGCAAGAGGGGAATGTATGAGAGTATAGTTTTACCAACGCTCTTATATGGGTGTGAAGCATGGGTGATGAATGTTGCAGCGAGGAGAAGGCTGGAGGCAGTAGAGATGTCATGTCTGAGGGCAATGTGTGGTGTGAATATAATGCAGAGAATTCGTAGTTTGGAAGTTAAGAGGAGGTGCGGGATTACCAAAAACTGTTGTCCAGAGGCTGAGGAAGGGTTGTTGAGGTGGTTCGGACATGTAGAGAGAATGAAGCGAAACAGAATGACTTCAAGAGTGTATCAGTCTGTAGTGGAAGGAAGGCGGGGTAGGGGTCGGCCTAGGAAAGGTTGGAGAGAGGGGGTAAAGGAGGTTTTGTGTGCGAGGGGCTTGGACTTCCAGCAGGCATGCGTGAGCGTGTTTGATAGGAGTGAATGGAGACAAATTGTTTTTAATACTTGACGTGCTGTTGGAGTGTGAGCAAAGTAACATTTATGAAGGGGTTCAGGGAAACCGGCAGGCGGACTTGGTCCTGGAGATGGGAAGTACAGTGCCTGCACTCTGAAGGAGGGGTGTTAATGTTGCAGTTTAAAAACTGTAGTGTAACACACCCTTCTGGCAAGACAGTGATGGAGTGAATGATGGTGAAAGTTTTTCTTTTTCGGGCCACCCTGCCTTGGTGGGAATCGGCCAGTGTGATAATAAAAAAGAATACATATATATATATATATATTTTATATATATATATATATATATATATATAATATATATATATATATTTATAATATATATATATGTATGTATATATATATATATATTTTATATATATTATATATATATATATATAATATATATATTATTATGTATATATCAAAGATTCAGTCATATTCGATATGATGTAAAAGGCTTATCATTCTAAATATTGATATCTGGCCATTATCTAGGCATTTTTCCATACATTAGAGTATAGGACCGGGATTGAAACCTAGGTTCTGACATTGTTATTATTATTATAATTACTATTACTGTTACTATTATTACTATTAAGTGTGAGGTGCTCACATATGGAGTAGTGCTCGTGATAGCTTGTGGATTGAGTGCTACATCTGCTTTGTTTTCTCTTACACGTTGTTCAAACACTTCTTTCATGAGGCGGCTGACAATTCCAGCGTCTTGCAGTCGAACCATCAACTGCATGAATCTGTTGTAAAATGGAGCACCTTTCCTAAAGTGAAAAAAGTCAGAAAGTATAGAGATTATTATTATTTATGATCATAATATTGTTGCAACATTGAAATGCTGAGTAAGATCCCAGTTTGGGGATCCAATTAGTCATAGTTGAGAGAGAGAGAGAGAGAGAGAGAGAGAGAGAGACAGAGACAGAGAGACAGAGAGAGAAAGAGAGAGAGAGAGAGAGATACACAAATAACCCGCACATAAAAGAGAGAAGCTTACGACGACGTTTCGGTCCGACTTGGACCATTGACAAAGTCACACTACAGAGGTGGAGCAGGACGGCTATATATAGGCAGGAAGAGGTGGAGGTAGTAGTAGTAGTAGTAGTAGTAGTAGTAGTAGTAGTAGTAGTAGTAGTAGTAGTAGTAGTAGTAGTAGTAGTAGTAGTAGTAGTAGTAGTAGTACAAGAAGTGTATATAATACCGACAGGATGAAATGACACATGCACAACACCCGGGCATCCCCACCGTAGACGTTTCGCCATCCAGCCAGCCACTGGATGGCGAAACGTCCACAACAAAGACAACCAGACGCCGCACATGTGTCTTAATTTCATCAGTAGTTGTAGTAGAAGAAGAAGAGGTAGTAGTAGTGGTAGTGGTAGAAGTGGGAAATAAGGAAGACGAGCCAGTCAAAAACAAAGGAAGGGGAGCACTGCAAGAGAGCTAGAAACCCACAGAGGGAGAGCAAGCGCACCGAGGTGCGTGAAAGGGGAAGTGGTGAAATAAAATAAATGAAGAAGGAACAGAAACACGAGACAGGAGAGAGAAAGACAACCCAGAGGAGAAAAGGAGAGAGGAAAGGGGAAGAGGAAGAAGAAAAAGAAGAAGAAGAAGAAGAAGAAGAAGAAAAAGAAGAAGAAGAAGAAGAAATGAGGATTTAGGTTAAGTCACGGGTGTTCTGAAGTTTGGAGCATTTTACAATGTAGTGGGAGAGGAAGGCATCTACAGAGACGAAGCCAGGGCTAAGGTTCATGCAAGGAAAGTTGTGTATTAGAGAGGATTCAACTAAACGGCGACTGTTCGAGTTGGAAGTAGGGAAGACAGTTTTAGCAGAGGACCAGTCAATAGGATGGCTATGATCTCTGACGTGACAGAAAAGAGCATTGTTAGTGTCGGCAAGCCTAACACTATTTTTGTGCTCCCTAAGTCTGTCAGAAAGAGATCGACCAGTTTCTCCGAAGTATTGAAGAGGACAGGAGGAGCAAGAAATAGAGTAGACACCAGGAACATCTGTAGAGGGAGGAGAGGTATGAACGAGATTAGTGCGAAGAGTGTTAGTCTGGCGGAAGGTAAGCTTGATGTCTAAGGGACGGAGAGAATTGTTGAGATTAGAAAGACCGGAAATGTAGGGAAGGCAGAGGATAGAAGAGTTCCCATGAGTAGAGAGTTTGGGAGAGAAGAAATTGCGTTTAGCACATGAAAGGGCAGAGTCTATGAAATGGGAAGGGTAGCCAAGACGGGAGAACGAATTATGAAGAGTGGAAATTTCTGCTGGAAGGAACTGAGGATCACAGATGCGGAGGGCACGGAGAAAAAGGGAGATAAGAACACTTTTCTTGACAGGGGAAGCATGATAGGAAAAGTAGTGAATGTACATGCCACTGTGCATAGGTTTACGGTAAACGGAAAAGGAAAAACCTGTATCTGAGCGGTGGACATGGACATCAAGGAAAGGAAGTAAGGAATTAGATTCCCATTCAGACACATGTGCGGCGTCTGGTTATCTTTGTTGTGGACGTTTCGCCATCAGTGGTGGGTGGATGGCGAAAGTCTACGGTGGGGATGCCCGGTGTTGTGATTGTCATTTTCATCCTTCGTTATTATATAATTTATGTATATACTACTATATATACTACTATATACTATTATCTGTATATATACGTCCTGCTACTTTTAGTGTGACTTTGTCAATGGTCAAGTCGGACAAAACGTCGTGTAAAGCTTATCTTTTATATGTGCGGGTATTATGTTTATCGTTCAAAGACGGTATTGGTGCCTTTTTGTTATTTATAGAGAGAGATAGAGAGAGGAGAGAGTGAAGAGAGGAGAGAGGAGAAGTGTGGAGAGAGAGAGAGAGAGAGGAAGACAGTTAGAGGAGGGAAGTAGAGAGTGAAGAGAGAGTGAATCGTGAGAGAGGAGAAGAGGGAAGAAGAGAGAGAAGATGAGAGATAATAGAGATGAAGATGTTGAGCAGTGAAGAGTGAGTAGAGACAGTGGGAGAGAGAGTGATAGCAGAGAGAGAGAGAAGAGAGAGAGAGAGGAGAGAGAGAGAGAGAGAGAGAGAGAGAGAGAGAGAGAGAGAGAGAGAGAGAGAGAGAGAGAGAGAGAGAGAGAGAGAGAGAGAAAGAGAGAAAACGTTTTCGAATTTTGCGTAATTTCGTCAGGAGAAAAGAAAAAGTGTCTCCTGCCACTGGTCTTAATCTTATTGATGCCTCGCAGAAGCATCTCCTTTAAATGCCAGTGAATTATGTTAACTGCAAACCAGTTGTTGCATAATTAGATCAGCCTTAAATAAGTACACTTAATGCTAATCTTAAATGTGTGATTTCATATTATTTTCAGTACATTTAAAATTGCATAAGAATAATACCCGTTAAATGATCCCTTAAGGTTCAAGAATATTAACAATATACCTGCCTGAAACCCCATCCAAATCCAGCTAATATCTGAATCACTCCGTGGCCGAGGTAGTAAGGGTGTTTGGCCATAAATGTCACTGTACAGGGAGTCGATGGTCATCTTCGTACCATGTTTGATGCTCATAAACGAGTAGCCTCCTGCTTTCACCTTCTCCAGTCCCTTCGTCACCGTCACTCTCTTGTAGCCGTGGAATAAACATACGTAGTGACATGCAATTATCAGTACTAGATAGGGTAGCTTTTTTGTAATTGACAACAACTTGTGAATATAGAATTCTGAGTAGATTCAAATGTGCTACTGTAGACAGTATTGCAGTACAAGATGCAAATGGGCAGAATTCATTGGGGATTATAGTAAAAATTAATACCAGTAAATCTTGTTTTGCAACTTGCGTCTTTTTTCATTTAATAATAAATTTGCATACTGACCTCCATTCCCTTGTATAATTTTTGTATTTGAGGGTCGGTATGCTCTAGGAAATAGAGCAACACAGCTCCATTTAACACCCAGGATTCAATGCCCCACTTCCAGTTGTTCAGAGTCACCAGGTCCTCGTAAGTTTCCGGAGGTTTAGTTTTCTCCTGGACTGACAGATGAGCGACTAGTGAGGAGCTGTAACCTGTGCTTATTACCAGACAGAACATCAACCACGCGCCCACCAACACCTGGAAAAGTAGAAGCAAGAACTACATCTCAAGGATATGACCAGACAGAACAACAACGCGCCCACCAACACCTGGAAAAGTAGAAGCAAGAATTACATCTCTTGGTTATGACCAGACAGAACATCAACCACGCGCCCACCAACACCTGGAAAAGTAGAAGCAAGAACTACATCTCGTGGTTATGACCAGACAGAACGTCAACCACGCGCCACCAACCACCTGGAAAAGTAGAAGCAAGAATTACATCTCGTGGTTATGACCAGACAGAACATCAACCACGCGCCCACCAACACCTGGAAAAGTAGAAGCAAGAATTACATCTCGTGGTTATGACCAGACAGAACATCAGAACGGCTCAAAAACTGAAAGTATGAAGCAAGAACTACATTCGTGGTTATGACAGAATCGAGTAATTTTCAACCATTGTCGACCCACTTCAAAAGAAAACACAAGCGTTAGAAAATATCGGTACAGTGAGCAGTTGTGCTGAGCTTCAGCTCAGGGCTCATCTACTAATTAGTTAGACGGGTTTAAGTAGTTTAAACACCATTTTCTTGGACTGACGCGTTAGTCCCCATGTTAGGGTTCACTTCTAGCTCCTGAGACTTCAACTACAGCTCACTGGCCTCTTGAGGAAGTTTAAGTTTCAAGGCATGTTGAATAACATGAGATTATCAAGGATGGTTAATGCCTCTTTCGGTAATTCAATGCTCGAAATTCATTTATATAAAAAATAAAGCAAAATCCTTAGGATTGTTATAAAGAGGGAATGAGTAGTGCACAGTAAGTCGTCTAAGTCTTTTTTCAATTATGAAAATTTTCTTCCTTTTATGTAGTAACTTAATAAAGTAGCCTGAAGATCAATGTTTCACTAAGATCTAGCTTAGAAAGACCCAACATAAAATGCATGTAAACAGATGATTAATTGAATAATTCATTATTTTACAGGGGAGTTATGACCCCTAAATTCACCATACTGATCCTTCCTCTCAGCAGCAGGAATTTGTCTGGAAGATTTGGCTGAGTAAATGACTAGAAATAAACCTTCAGAGTTGCCTCTGGGAATATAAATTTGTTGGATGGTTATTGGGCCTTGTAACTAATATTTCACCAGAAGAAGAGTAAATATAGTATACTTAAAACGTAGAACAGATGTGCGTTAAGTAAGACATTAGAAATAACTTCACTGACAAAGCTGGACAACTTTACTTTTTCTGCTTTGTTGACGGAAGGGTCTGAGGGCAGGTTGGCCAGGAGTGCGCCCCAGCCATACAGAAGGATGGTGATGAAGTTGACTGTGTGTGTCCCTGTGACCCAACACCATACCTTCTGCAGCAACCACAGGATCCCGCTCCACAACACCATACTCAGCAACAACGTCAGCCATAGTTCTCCTGAAGAAGTAATTGGATATTATATCATGTAGGAGTGTTGTAAATAGTACTACTGTCATAGAGAAAACTACCCATTATTCTCTGTTCATTTGTATCCTGTGTGCATTCGTCTAATTCTTAGCTTTATACGTATATAAAAAAATATGCTAGTAAACACAGCTGATGTAGGGAATCATTCTTATTATGTGAGTAACTAAGTATATTACAAACTACTTACCTGTAAAAGGTTTAGAGAGCGAGAGAAGTTGTGGCGAGAGAGTTGGCTTTAAAGACACGATGGCCAGCGGGTCAGCTTCAATTACCCACAAGAATTCCATGGCTGGGATCCGTTCAGCAAGCGGTCCCATTGATCCACCCATGTCTGCCTCTTCCCGCTGCAGTTGTCCCGTGATGCCAGTGAACCGGCCATTCTTCTGCATGCCATATTGTCTCTCTGGAGCCTCACGAATCTGAAAACTTGTGAGTAAGGAGAACAAATGACAGCATGTAGATATAGTTAGCTTTTAAACATATAGAATTGGATCAGAATATTTGACTTTATTGACAACGAATGCACAGAAATAAAATACTTTAAATGTCTTATTCACGGTGGAAGCGCTAAATCCCTAAGAGTCATACAGCACCATCCACAAAATATATCAGATGGATACTTCTTTAAATAATATCTTTCTAAACATATTTTCAGCCTCAATTCCTTTTCATTTAAAATAATTTACGGTACCTTTTTTCTTACAGTTGACTCAACTGACACACAATTAACACGAAAGAAACAGAGAAATCTACCTCGTGTTGAGTGTTTTAGAGAATAAAGACAGAAGTCTAGCATCAAGACAATCCTTGAGTGACACTGTACTTCCTTGTTCACTATTTTCTAGGGTGTAATCCATGAAGGGGAAGTACAGAACGGTTGACATCTTCAGGTTTTTGCCCCAGAAGTTATGAAATTGCTCTGGTAAAGAAATATAATTTGCAAGTTATGTGTAATAATATCATAAATAACTATTATTATTTTGAGTGATGATGCTTTTAATTATATAAGTTCGTTTCGTAATGTGTATATGTGTTGTTAGATGTGTATGTGTGCTGTTAGATGTGTATGTGTGTTGTTAGTTGTGTATGTGTGTTGATAGATGTTGTTAGAGTGAATGTTGTTAGGGAAATGTGTGTGAATATTCTAGTAAAAATAGTATTTTAGCATTGAAATAGATTCTTTCTCTTAGTGTATACAATATATTTGAGAGATTAATTTTCTCACAACGTTAGGGAATAAAATATTCCTTTTAGTGAGCTACATGACCATCGTGTAGTCGAGAGTCTTAAGTCTAAAATAAGCCAACCAGTTCGTGATTACCTTGAAATAAATCATCTTTGATTTGGGTGAATGATGTGAGGTTCCACAGGTGGAGGAGCTGGATGTCTGCCTCTCCTCTGTTACAGTACAAACACTTCCGGTACACCCACACACCTCCACTCGCTAGAGTACATGATTATACAGCTGATTAATATTTACTTTTTAATAAATATAAAGTATGTGAAGAAATTTTATTATCTATGGATATAAAACTAATTCTGTTTACACTTCATCAAGATCACAAGATTTTAATATTTTCAAGAATTAGATATAGACCAGATGCCCACATTATTGGGACTAGTTTTCTCTCTGGAAAAGAAATCCAAGTCACAAATTTATGACTCTCGGGCAGTAGAAATTTCACTTTTATTCCGGATGTTTTAAGAACACAAGAAGGAAAGACAGTCATTTCTTAGGGAAATAATGTTATTAGACACATACTGACCTCGGGCAACTGGTTGTCTGTTATGTGAGTTACGTAGTGTTGGTGGTGATGCGTGGAGAGTGAGGTCATTAAGAGTGATGCTGTGGACGGTGAGGTCATCAAGGGTGAGCTCATGAAGGGTGAGGTCATGGAGGGTGAGGTCATGGAGGGCCAAGTAGAGAACATGGACAGTGTTGTGGAAGCTATGGTGGAGAAGCACGTCCTTCACTTCAGTTCTCCTTCCCACCACAATCACCAGAGTCTCAGGTAACTTCCATAATTCAGCTTTCTCAAGAAACCTACAATATATGGGATTTCAAGAGCATCAGTACGTCCTCTTTCACTTATATATGTCAAAACTTAATAATTATCCATACACTTAGCATTTAATTTCTTCAGCAGCATCAGTGACCGACGCATCACCTACCAAATAGATTTAGAGACTTTGCATTCTGCCTTTTTTTTGAGGTACCGACTGAGAAAAGGTAAAAACAAAATATAATTGTAAAAGATAAAGTTATTATTGAAATATAAAATAGCATTTTTAAGCAAAACAATAAGATTTAATTAGTCTGATATTGGATCAAGTCGAACCCAAAAGTTATGTAATGTTCCAGACACGATATTGTGCTTTTTTTAATTTTTAATGAATAGGAAATTGCGAATCGCACTAGAAATCAACAACAACAAGCCAGACAGAACAAGTTGTATTGTCCACTGAACCAGACAGCTGCAGCTCCAGATTTCAGTATCAGTTAGAAAATTACCTTAAGACTGCATGAGTATTGTTGGTGTTGGTGAAGTCAAGGATGAGACCCCGACAGGTGGTCTTAGAGTCGCCCCAGACACCCTGCTGGAGTTGGTCCTGAGCCAGCTGGTCCTGGGAATATTTCCAGCCTACCTCCACTAGCACACCAGCCTCCACACTCTCACTCAGGCGTCTGAGAAAGAGATATATATTATCTATCTATTACTAGGACGCTTTACCTTCATCGTACCCAAGTTACGCTTGTCAGGAAACAGGAAAAGTGCTTCCTGACGCGGGTTTTACATGATAGCCCACCGCTGGAGTTTTTGGTCATCTGACCGAGGCCTTCCGCTGGCTTACCAGTTCCCCACTTTAAAAAATATGATTATAACACAATCGACATATCGTTAAAAAGAAAGGGGAGATTCCTTGTTATGTGACTTGTCTAACCTATTGACGACTCACGAGAATATACTAACAACAATGGTAAATCTATTCCAGTTTATTTTATGTGAGAATAAGATAGATGAACATAAACATTCCAAGTTGGTATAGAAAATTTAATACAAAAATTTCACTGAAAAATTGCTAAAATCATTTAATAAATATTTTGAGGAAACTTAGTTATCGATAAAGATTTAAATATTTCACCTGATTATGTTGGCGGTAATTAGTGAGTGTTGTGTAGTGGTGATGAGTACCAGGTGACAGCTGGTGAGATGGTGCTGTACCACTTGACTCACCATCACGCCCACCTGCTCCACCACCTGACCTACCATCACGCCCACCTGCTCCACGGCTCCGCCCACATCGTGGCTAGTTATTAACGCATTGTTGATCAGCGTTGATAACAACACTGTTTTGTAACTTTCAAATAACATTGTGTTTACCTAGAAGAAACAAAATATGTAAACGAATATATATATATATATATATATATATATATATATATATATATATATATATATATATATATATATATATATATATATATATATATATATTATATATATATATATATATATATATATATATATATATATATATATATATATATTTTTTTTATTATTTTTTATATATAAACTATAGTTTCCAATATGACCCAATAAAGAATAGAAATCCAATAGAAAATACTTATATCATCATATCAACACTTACCAATCACATTATCATGTTTTGCAGAGGGCTAGATACACAGTCTAGAAGCATAAGATATAAGATACACAACATACCTCCAAACTGCCAATATCAAACTCCTTTAAAGTGCACATTACTTCATTTCAGGACTCAATCCGACTATATGAAAATAAGGTTTTGATCCCTTCATAAATATTACCTAGTATATATATATATATATATATATATATATATATATATATATATATATATATATATATATATATATATATATATATATATATATATATATATATATATATATATATATATATATATATATATATATATAATATATATATTATATATATAGGGGTGGTAGGAAAAGAAAATATTCAAACAACTCCGGGGAGAACCTTGAGTTTTCCCTGAGGTACGTTTATTGTCTTCTCTGAGGATGAGGGTCCCCATAAAGTTCTAGAGGGGATACCTCTGAATAATCAATCCAGATACTAAAAGATGAAGTTATGAGGCAAACTAAGTACTTTATAATATTACACAGGGATGAAGAGAAAAGCTTAGTACAACAACTGGTAAATGTTTATTTACGTGTTGACCACAACACTAAAGGATTCTGTATTTCCTTCAGTAATAACATCATATAATATTTCTGAAATAAACATAATATTAAATAGCGTCCATCTCTTTGAAACGCCATGTGATACGAGAGACTGAAGCCATTTTTGGACGGTGAAATGGTGTACTTAAGTACACCGTGTTAATTAATGTTTGCAAACCAGGTCACTTGAACTCCCTGCGATCATGAAGAGTTGTACTGAGAGCCAAGCTTCATAAAACTGCTATTTTATCAAACATATTCAATGCATTTTAGTAAACTTATTGAGAATCATGTGCATTGATACGTGTGTAAAGTTGTAAATAATATCTCAACATAATATCCAGAGAGATTTCTTGCCAGTAATATTTTACGGCATTCGGGCTGAAGCAGGATTGTAGTTTGTGAGACAGATGACGATCAGGTGTCATCTTCTGATGTTGTGTTGCTGTAGATGTTGACTCCAGCGCTTCCTGTGAGGGTTGAAGCAGATCTCTGTTGTATTTCATTTTTGCCTCTTCCTCAGTCCACTGAGTTATACATCTATACACACTGGAGACACTAATCTGAAACCTGACAGACACGTCTCGTGCAGACACACCGCTCAGGTACAGCATCACGGCTCTCGTTCGCTCAGATGCTGAGAGTCGTTTTCCTGGGGGTCTCCTTCTCATAGGACTGACTTTGTCAAACTGAAATGTTATTATATATGAATTCATTTTGGTGCAGTGGAAAATAGTTAAATAATTGTTTTACCTCTGTTATATTATATAAAATTTGGGTATATGATATGACACGTGTTTAAACATAGGGGTTTTTTTTTTAAAGGGACACGATTCGTCAACCAGTGGCGAAACTTTTCTCAATAAAGAATCTCAAATATTGCACTAGAGTTTCATTCTAATGCATATAACACGCTTTCATCTTCATAGCAGATATATGTCTGTGAAAGTAACCATCTTTTATGCTTGACAGTTTGACAAGATAACTTTGGGATTTTTCTGTCAAGCTGATTTTCTTTACTTTGTCAACATGCGAGTATTTACTTAGCCAATATATGTTTAATATTTATAGTAAGCTGTTTAAATTCGTTAGGGCTATGAAGCGACTGGGACACATGAGGTAATCAAATTTTGTCCATCAGGTTTCATCAGTCAAGTTTGGTCAATCAGGTTTAATTACGAAATCTCCAGCAACATCACTCCTTTGAAATGATAGTTACCATCTTGAAGCTTCTTTCAAGAAAACCCTTTACAGTATTTTTGGTTATTTTACAGTCTTACACTGGTGTCAGACGTGTAAATTTGTTGGTATTGGTATTAGTATTAGTAGAAGAAGTAATAGCAGTATTAATAATAATAGTAAAACTAGTAGGAGGTGTCAGTTGAAGAATGACACGACACACTGGCATGACTCTCGTCACCTGTGAGGTGTCAGTTGAAGAATGACACGACACAGTGGCATGACTCTCGTCACCTGTGAGGTGTCAGTTGAAGAATGACAGGGGACACAGTGGCAGGGACTCTCGTCACCTGTGAGTGTCAGTTGAAGAATGACACGACACACTGGCATGACTCGTCACCTGTAAAGGTGTCAGTTGAAGAATGACACGACACAGTGGCATGACTCTCGTCACCTATGAGGTGTCATTGAAGAATGACACGACACACTTGCATGACTTTCGTCACCTGTGAGGTATCAGTTACATGAGAAAGTGATGTTCCATGTAGGTATTGTCACTGGTATTTACCCTGATCACTACTAACGAGGCAGAGGTGTAATAAGAGAAGCTCGTTCTTATTATTATAATCAAAAGAAAGCGCAAAACAATTGGAGCACAGTATTAGGATAGTTTACGGATGAAATGTTGATGTACGACTGGCTTCTCCAGTCCTAAAGAAGCCATTCGTGACAAAACGTTTCCTAATATGGCTCACGAAATCGTAATGACACGATTGCAAACAAACCATATCCCCGCCCGTGGTATGGTTTGTTTCCTAATACAGTAGTACCTTGACACGAAAGTTTCTTTTTGCGTACTTATGATATATAAGTTTTTCAGACAGTCTTATGATAATTTTTCACCATTTCTTATGCAGGATGTGTAATTTTTTTCAACTTGTTTGAGGACAATGTACCTTAAGGTAGATGAGAACGCTGAGCGGTAGACTGTGCACCTTGTAGCGGCTCCCAGTGAACAACGCGTCAGTCACCTGGATGTGAAGTATTTATACCCGGGAGGCAACAAGAGCATCTCAAGTTGCCACTAACATTGATGTGGGTTTGATTCATGCGGGATTTGAGTGATGTGTGTGTGTGTGTGTGTGTGTGTGTGTGTGTGTGTGTGTGTGTGTTGTGTGTGTGTGTGTGTGTGTGTGTGTGTGTGTGTGTGTGTGTGTGTGTGAGTGTGTGTGTGTGTGTGTGTGTGTGTGTGAAGTCATTTATTGGAACACTCGTGCTTTCCTGGGTAATTTTCAAAGATATTTATGTTTATAGTATGTAATAAAAATTACTTTATCTGCATATGTTCTTCATTTCATTAATAGTATTTACGTCAAGGTAATGTATTTCAGCGTTATACTTAAAATTCTATAACATACACCTTGGTAAAGTAATTTTGTGATTCCTTTATTTCATATTACCAGGAAGAAACACTTCATCTTGTTGGTTTTATTATCTTGTTGGTTTTATTATCTTGTTGGTTTTATTATCTTGTTGGTTTAACTACTTCCTACAAAATAACCTTCATATCTAAACACATTTTCCTGACACTTTCACAGTGCATCATCGTGCTGACGTATCTAAATCCCCAGCACTGTCATTCTTGGCCCGAGGTCTGGTGATGCTGGGGAAGGTGGTTACTGAGGGGAGGAGCACCAGTGGGCGAGGTTCTCCCCCAGCAGGGTGAGGAAGGCCACTCCTGGGAAGGTGGTTACTGAGGGGAGGAGCACCAGTGAGCGAGGTTCTCCCCCAGCAGGGTGAGGAAGGCCACGCCTGGGAAGGTGGTTACTGAGGGGAGGAGCACCAGTGGGCGAGGTTCTCCCCCAGCAGGGTGAGGAAGGCCACGCCTGGGAAGGTGGTTACTGAGGGGGGGGAGCACCAGTGGGCGAGGGTTCCCCCAGCATGGTGAGGAAGGCCACGCCTGGGAAGGTGGTTACTGAGGGGAGGAGCAACCAGTGGGCGAGGTTCTCCCCAGCAGGGTGAGGAAGGGCCCCGCCTGGGAAGGTGGTTACTGAGGGGAGGGACACCAGTGGGCGACGTTCTCCCCCAGCAGGGTGAGGAAGGCCACGCCTGGGAAAGTAGTTACTGAGGGGAGGAGCACCAGTGGGCGAGGTTCTCCCCCAGCAGGGTGAGGAAGGCCACGCCTGGGAAGGTGGTTACTGAGGGGAGGAGCACCAGTGGACGAGGTTCTCCCCAGCAGGGTGAGGAAGGCCACGCCTGTGAAGGTGGTTACTGAGGGGAGGAGCACCAGTGGGCGAGGTTCTCCCCCAGCAGGGTGAGGGAAGGGCCACGCCTGTGAAGGTGGTTATGAGGGGAGGAGCACCAGTGGGCGAGGTTCTCCCCCAGCAGGGTGAGGAAGGCCACGCCTGGGAAGGTGGTTACTGAGGGGAGGAGCACCAGTGGGCGACGTTCTCCCCCAGCAGGGTGAGGAAGGCCACGCCTGGGAAAGTAGTTACTGAGGGGAGGAGCACCAGTGGGCGAGGTTCTCCCCCAGCAGGGTGAGGAAGGCCACGCCTGGGAAGGTGGTTACTGAGGGGAGGAGCACCAGTGGACGAGGTTCTCCCCGCGGGTGAGGAAGGCCCGCCTGGGAAAGTAGTTACTGAGGGGAGGAGCACCAGTGGGCGAGGTTCTCCCCCAGCAGGGTGAGGAAGGCCACGCCTGTGAAGGTGGTTACTGAGGGGAGGAGCACCAGTGGGCGAGGTTCTCCCCCAGCAGGGTGAGGAAGGCCACTCCTGTACCCAGCAG